CACGTTCCTTATGTTCTATTTTTGTGCACGTGGGATCATGCATAGAATCCTTAGCCACCGTTTAAAGGCTAAACATTCATTCGAAACAATGTTACACCACTACGAATACCTTATCAGATGGTGCTAGTCACTGAATAATAAACCCCTCATTATCCTGCAGCAGCCAGAGTCCACTTACTAGACATACAGCCAATATACAGTATGTTACAAGTGATGATTAACTAATGTATATAACTTATACCAGTAGAGACCACTATTATATTTGTTGACGTGTATGTACGAGTGATGACGTGACGGACTTAAAAAAGCTACAGACTATGAAAATAGCTTTATTACCAGATTCTCCAAGTAATATTTTGTAATTCTTAATATATGCAATGACAATCCATCAATAGTCATTCCTAAACTAAGGCATCACATGTACAGTATATTCATAAATAATTAAGAATTTTTTTTTCATATATAATTTTAAGAAAAAACTTAATATGTTACATATTTGTCCCAGTCAATATACTTTATAAAACAATTAATTTGTAATCCTCCCTGCAAGCCCCACCCTGCTAAAGGTCAGGATGGCCTGAGTCAAGAGAAATATTGATTCTCCCTCCTTCACTGTCATTCTCTCTCACTGCCTCACAAAGTGTTCATCCATGTTGTTCTTCCACCAAAATACATTACCTGTGTGGTGTACTCAGGGTATTTAATACAAAAAACTTGTAACTTGAAATTTATCAAAGGTAAACATGAAGGAAGATACTACTGAATTTCTTTTTTTCTCTTTTACTAGTTTCTAACTAATACTTACTTGCAGGAGTCCAGCCCAATCTTGCCACGGTCAATCATATCAGCAAGACGGCCGGGTGTAGCAACGAGTAGGTGGCAGCCACGAGACAAGTCCCTCATCTGAGAGACCACATCTGCACCACCATACACAACACATGGTCGTACTCGAGCCCTAAGAATAAACGTATACATCAGCCAAACATAAAATAAATTTATCCACAAATATAAATGTTTAAAAGAATATGCTTAAGCATTCATACTTTCCTCAAATTTTTTTAAGCAAAAGCTGAAATTCTTTCTGAAATTGGCAAGGATGTAAAGGAAGTAGCTAATGCTGACAATACACCAATCAAGCAAATGCAATAACATACACAACCTTGACTATTAAAGGAATGTTTAAGTCAGCACAGCAGCCAATACAAATATTGACATGAAAAATTGAAAACTCAGCCCCAGGGTGTCTGAGGCCAGTAAAAATTAAAAACTGGGGGAACAAATAATAATTATACTCCCCACTCAAACCTTTCTTACATTAAATACTCAAAAGTTCTCCATTTATAATCCATTAACAATTTCTAGCAAGACAACAAAACTTAGAGATGGTGTTGACAGATCTCGGCAACCAACGGTGGGAGGCAGACTTACCTGTATGAAAATTTGCGGGACTCGTCGTATATTTGGGTCGCCAACTCTCGGGTAGGGGCTAAGACGAGAGCTAGAGGGAACTGCTTACTACGGCCACGAGGGTTATTGTTCTTAACCTGGGGAACACAAAATCAAAGTTACCCGATTTGTTGGTTAGAGAAAATAATGCCATATAAATGTAAGCGAGACATAAGCATTAAAAGATCAATCTTCATACATTCTTTCTCCTGCAAGTCTTCTACCAGCATACAGCTTGTTGGCTACAGTAACACAGGGTGTCTAAAATTATCTGACCCATTTCTAAATTTAATAAACTCATTGCTATTCCTCGTCTTTCTAATGGGATAAAAATTTTCTTAAATCTTTGCTTTCATGAAATTAAGTCTTTCTTTCCTTCATATTAACTGTACAGTATTCTTCTTCAGTTCATGTTCAATTATGTCCGTGTGTCGTGATCAACTCCTTGATTTAGAGTGCGCCAGCCAGCTTTATACATTGTGTACTAATCCTCACTGTCCCACGGAGGAATCTTTGCTCAGCAGGCACTGACAGCATCACCATTGTTGTGTATTATCACCCTCTCACTTCCCTTTTGCATCTTAGTGTTTCCTCATGCACTTATCTCCACATACTGTTACATTTATTTTTCTATTAAGTTATTTCTTCACCTCACTCCATCTATCCAGCTACAGCTACACCCACAAGCAACAAAGATGGGTTGTTTTTGGATATGTGTAATGCTCTACTTTGATGTATTGGTCATAATAGAAACCCTCCCAGCTTGACCATTTCCATCTCCCTGCCATGATGCACAGTAGTTGCCCCTCTCCTACACACCTGATCTAGACTAAACCATCCTGGTGTTCATCCTAAATTAGGTCTGCATACATATGTTAAAAACTACAATAGCCAGGTACTGTATATCTTACCTGAACTGGACCCTGTTCATAGATTTGGTTAAGGATTGGGACCAAGAAAGCAGCAGTTTTTCCTGAACCAGTCTGGGCACAGGCCATCAGATCTCTTTTGGCAAGGATGAAAGGCAGGGCATATTTCTGTGAAGGTCAACACATTTTATTATAGCAACAATAATCATAAAATGTTTTCATATTAAAGCACTCTTAATCCCCATTGCTTTCATTTTTATTTCCCAATCTTAAGAAAATAAAATCCTTTATTAATTATTTCTTTCATGTTATTTACTTCAATACATTGTCATCGCTACCAACATCAAAGCAGTAAACGTACCTGGACTGGTGTGGGTCTGTCATATCGGGCTAAACTTATGTTCATCTTTATAATTTCTGTTAGTTTGATGTCTGCAAAACTGCTGATAGAGCCAGGGACATCATCTCCAGTAGCTTCTACAGGAATGTCATCATATTTGTCGAAGTTGATACCGCTATTGGACTGAAATAGAAAATTCATTTTAACTCTAGAATTTAACATTTTACTTTAACTACACACACATTTAATCAGTAAACTTTACCCAGCAATCATAGACTAACTAATGTCTGATATGGTGGTACAGTATCAAGGATGTGGCTCTTCTAAATATCAACTGCTTCCTAATACAGTATATATTTATCATATATCAAAATAAAATACTTGTATTCATAACTAGGTGTTTTATAAGCCATTTATCCTTCCACCTTATCGGTGAGTATTGTACAGTACAGTGTCCTGCTGTGAACCTCTGGGTGTCCATAATTCAGAAGATATAACAATCCTTGCAAGATACTGTAAACAATACTTACTACTGGACCGGCAGTGCTGGTGAAGAGCTCAGCTTCCAGGACCTCATTCCTGGGCAGTGGCTGAGCCCAGTCGTCGCGGTCATTGCCACGATCCTGCCACCGGCTATTGGAGCTTCCTCCGCCGCCACCGCCGCCTGAGGAGCGATCGCGCTCATCTTCGATCCATCGTGTATTACGGGGAGGGCCATTCACCCCCCCACCATCACGGTAGCGATCTTCGTATCCACCACCACCGCCACTGAAAGACAAATACAATACATATGTGAAAATAAATACAACTTTATATTCTTAAACTTTATGTGTAATCTTGTCTTACAGTAAAATATTATATGCAATATGACCCAAAAGGTTGAACTAAAATATCAGGTAATAATTAAACACCATAATGTAAGGACATAAAACAGCTATTCCATGTACAGTAGTGAACTCACCCGCGATTATCCCGGCTTCCTCTCCAGCGGTCATCGTGTTCCCTGAAACGCTGTCCATCATTCCCTCTGTATCCAGTGCCTCCGGTGGTGCCTCCTCCAGTGGTGCCGCCGCCGCCGCTGCCACCACCCCGGTTGTCTCTCCTCTGATAGTTATTTGACCCTAAATCTCCGTTCTTCCGTCCACCTGTTGTTTAACATATCAAATCCCTTAAGTTCTTTGCTGCCCAAGAGGGACACTGTCAATTATAAAAGCCGTACCACATGAATAAAAAGCCAGACAAGACAAAAGCAGCAGCATGTGGGGAGGGGGGAGTGGGGAAGCTACTTATTGGGATCAAATTGGAAGTAACCGTTAATGCACAGGTAAACAACACACCACACTTGGATAATAAGTGTGGAAACTGACAACACAACTTGACCCAACATTCTCAAGAACAGTACAGTAAAACACTATATACTATACAAGGCGTCTCAAAAAATATGTGCTCTCGCTGCCTTACAGATTTCTTGTAGCGATCGTGTCAATGTTTCCTAATTCGTTGATGTGTCAAAAACTCCCACAGGTGAGGAAAAAGTTGCTGTTGTAATAGAAACACCCTGTATATGGCTGCCATCTCTACAACTATCATCCACAGTAGATGACAGCCATCCCTACAGCTAACTTCCACAGTCGATGGCAGCCGTCCCTACAGCTAACTTCCACAGTCGATGAGAGCCGTCCCTACAGCTAACTTCCACAGTCGATGAGAGCCGTCCCTACAGCTAACTTCCACAGTCGATGAGAGCCGTCCCTACAGCTAACTTCCACAGTCGATGAGAGCCGTCCCTAGAGCTAACTTCCACAAATGATGGCTGCCGTTCCTAAGACTAACTTTCACAGATGATGGCTAGTGTTTAAACATTACAAGACTACAAGTACTTTCAGTGAGGCAGACAAAATAAACCATTGACAATAACCTCACATTAATCTGGTGGCACTGATAAAGGAGCACTGTTCAGCTGTACCTCCCACTAAAGATACAATATTGACATGTGAATATTCTGCTTATCTACAGCCACTTCTTATCCACAAACTCAATTTGTATACTGATGCAAAATATTTCTATATGGTGGCCAGACAGTTGCTGATCCACTACAGTACCTCTTAACATTTAGTAGCTTGTGCCTCACTCTCTCTATCACCCCTTTGGCAAGATGCTAGTCTTGTTCCTCTTCAAAAAATGTACCGGATAACATGTTTACTCTACTGGAGAGTATACACAGCCTAGTGTGCAAAGTGGGAACACATTCCTCCACCTCTACTGGGAAGTGTACCCGACACCGGGCACTTGCAAGGTGAGAGTGTCGCCACTGCTTTAGTAGCTACTGCACCTATAAAAGACAGTGCAAGTTCCTTTCATCTATAGAGGTAAATATTCCCCCAATGCTAATTTTCAGTGAGGCTACATTTAACTTGATTAAACTTTAAAAAATATGGTCATGTAATTCATATAAGATCCCTTGGCCAGTCTTTAAAAACAGTAATGCCGACGTTAATCCTGTGATAACGATGCTTCATATGACTCACTCTAATCACCCAAAGGTGTGTTAAAGACTGTCAGCTGAACACACCCAGACACATGGTGTGAGCTCCAGCATTAAGTCTTCACTAAAACTGGCCACGAGGTCAAAATCACAAAATAAAAGATGTATCTACACTTCTGCCTTACTTTAAGCTATAAACATGTGACGTAGGTGTTAGTGACAAAACAAAAATGGGACAGAGGCAGAGAGAGTATTTACAAAGAATCGAACAGGCATGACATACCACAGTGCACACAAAGTTAAATTATTGACCTTATACTTAATCACCACATATTCCATTCTTACCCTGTACAGCACACCTCAACACATTCTCTCACTGTTCCTTTATCACCTCACATTCCTCTCTCATTCTCACTAGCGTTTCAGTTATAACAGCCTCTCCCATCATTTACCGCCACTTACGCTCTAAATACCACAACACATTATCTATTACGTTCCCCTCCACAACACGTCCCAGTAATGTTCATTTGGTTTGCCTATCGCTTTATCCCCTAGTGTCACCCCACCTCATCACCTTCTACTATAGCCAACAGTGAACTAATCTTTTCATCACCATCAAACACAGAAATATACCATCTATATCATGATATCCATTATAAAAATACTATGTTCTGGTGGCCAATACTGTATACTATTACTTCACACTGACATGCAGCAGGGAGAACTGCCGCCGGGTAATCATGGCTAACCCGAACGAGCGTTGAAAATTGGCCATAAAATGTTGATGATGACAAAATGTTAACCTGCTCACCTAACCATAATCTACCAATGTGAACCAGTCAGGAAAAGTAGAGATAACACTTCTGCACATATCACTGCCATCTTGAAAGACAAACTACTCCACAGAAGAAAGGTTTATCCTTATTGGAGAAAATCTAATGCTTAGGATTTAGTCCAACAAGTAGCTATTCACTGCAAAAGATGGTGCTACCTAAGGATTTTAATATCACACATGGCTAGAGGTAAGTGTGACTTGCCTAGCTTACCACAAACCCATTTCCCTGTTTATCTGCCTAATCTAACCAAACCTACGTTATCACACACTAGGATATTGCCCTAATTACCACAACAGGTAACATATTTCAGTGATGTGGTCCACACTTACACTTGACTATTAAAACAACCCCTCAGGTAGCATAAGGGTGTTCTATTGTTAGGTAAAATAAGCTGGGTGCCTAATCTTCAGGTGGTCTATGAGAGCAAACCTAAGAATATGTTTATAATGATGCCCTACTGACACAACTGCGCCAGAGAAATGAGTGGCAATAAAAACTAAAAAATTTCTAGCCATTTACACTGATACTCTAAAAACCACCTTTAATGGAGGGTAAAGTCTGAAGGGCCCCGAGGAGTGAGATCCCTGTGACACGTTTACTATATACATCACAAGGACAAGAAATCATACAGTACTTCTATATAAGCAACTTTTCATAAACCTAGTTGTGGAGGGTTGAATCAGTTTGAGCAGGTTGGAAGACTACACTTTAGGTAGAAACACAACTATGGGATAACTGCTCTTCCTCCAAGTGATTTCTCTCTCTAAACTAACAATAATGTACAAACCATCTCAATAATCACAATTCTAAATTCAAAGACATTTATGGCCATTTTCCACACCTGTGTTGGTTAATGAATCAGTAATGGAAGTTACGGTCCTGCACAGGTAAACATTGTCACCTAATACTGTCAAGACATCAGTGCCTTATATAGGTATCACCTGATGTATGAATGGGTTATGCTCCTGCAAATTCATTCTTTAAGTACAAATATGTATACTGAATGGTTGAACGTGCATCCAATATTACTGGGGCTATGTTTCTTGAGGGAACAATGATTGGGCAGCTGTGTGTGTATCATGCAAATCTCACCATTTTATATCCTGTAAAATCAATAGTAAATAATAAATACACTGAAAACGGTGAACATTGTACAGGTACAGTAGTGTGTACTGTACATGCTCCTCTGCACATCCTGGGCGGCCATCTTGACTGTGTGACAGCCAAAGATTCGTGTTCTTTAAAGAAAAGAGGGAGTTAAAATGTGATGCTATTCATCAAAGTGAATGGCGTTTTCATAAAAAAGGTGGCAAAATGTGACTTGTTAAGTTTTTGTTTTACGCTTAACGGGCACACGCACATCGGTGGGACACCCGTCATAAGAGTTTTAACTTTTATGACCGAGGGAAAACCATAACGGAGGCATTAAAATCAATCCAACACAATATTCGGTGTTGATTACTCAAATGGCAGCCACACCAAATTATTAAGTATCTCAAGCATGACCACTGGGCTGGTATTTAACACTCACGCAAGTCAATATTGCTACCAAGTATTAATGAGATCTGGCAACACAATATTTCCTTCGGTATAAACAGGTGAGAGTAAGGGTCCTGGTCTAGGGTTCACCGTTACTACACACAAAATGGGCCATAAATCCCAAAGTGAGGAAGGAAAATGCTAACAAGGAATCTTCTTCCATATAGTGTCAGTTGTTCCATCCACGCGACAAGATTCGTCAAAATCTGCGAATATTAATTTTTTCAAGTTATCTCGTTCACCGGGTGTCTGGGTGGACAGATAGTGCCGGCATCACCGTGTCTTCCGCCACGATAGGGAAGTATACGAAGAATGAAAATGCAAGAACTGGTAATTCTTACAAGATAAAGGCCTCACATTTAACTACAACAGAAGGTCTGTCCATTCCCCAGACAATCAACCACCTTAAGAAGCTTTGTTGATTCCATCAGGCCAAGGCAACGCAGCTACGGTAATATTTACTGTGGTCAGCTTATAGTGACGAGTCAAGTAAATTACAACCTCCTTGCTCTTACTATCAACTCGTGTAAGTATTAGCCACACATCACACTAGCAGCAATATAGGACACACTCCTGACACAAGTATTCATATCCCACAGTCACTCAAAACTGTGATAATCCAATTATTGGTAATAAAACCAAAAGCATTAGTTCACCTGTGTAAGTCTCACACGTGGCATCACTCGAGTAATTCTGGATTATTTCTTGGAAATTTAAAATACAGTACAAATCACAATATATTTTCCTTTGCAAATCCACAACTTACTGAACTGTTTAAATGAAGCCTTGGTGCTTACAGTCAAGGCACTGAAAAGGCAAAAGATCAAAAGTTCTGACAAACAGTAGCTTGTATTACAATTGTTAACGGTAAACCAATAAAAAGTTTTCAGAAAACCAGCTTTCATAAGCCATTTGGAGTTCAAGCCAAAACCGGATTATATTTACCCGTTTTGTTAAATTTTTGTTCATTACATATATAAGCCATTTGGAGTTTAAGCCAAAACCGGATTATATTTACCCGTTTTGTTAAATTTTTTATATAATGAAGTGTGGTACCACAGCTTGAGACTACACGACAGTTTGCACACTGTTAACTACTCAACTCACACAGGCTTGCCGAGTAAACATGAGCGAGTGAGTGAATGATGTCAAGCCTAAATGCACAACCTGCACACACACTACACCACAATATACAGCAGTCAAGTCAACCCCCAAACCTTCACCATTAAGGTATAACTTACTGCTGTACTGATCTCTATCTCTCTCCTGGTCCCAGGTACGGCCAGTGTTCTGGAAACTGCGGGAACCATACCAACTTCCGAAACCGTCCCTAGAATTCCTATCTGAAGTATCTGCCAAAAGGATGCAATATATGGCAATCTGCAATCCTTATGAGGCAAAACTAAACTGTGTTCTCTGAGAGGTCTGCAATAGGCATTAATCAAAATTGTCTAGAAAATACACATAATCATTATAAAAAGCCCTATCTTATAAAATAAAAAGGAAATTTATTGCAAACATAACTGAATACAGTATTAAAAAGGCTAAAATGAGAAAAATAAATTATTCAAGAAATGGGAAAAGACATTAGAAATAAATATATAATAATAAAAAAATCAGAACACACATGCATGACAGAATCTGACCAAAGGCAGTGGGTGTTCATGGTGTCAACCCCTGAATAACAAATTACAGTACTTTTATTATTGTAAATATGAAGATTATCTTCATCCATCAAAACTACAGGGCTGGGAACCTATCAACACCAGCTACTGAACTGACATTACACCTCAAAAAATGATAAAAGTGTTCATATAAACTCTTTAGCCACAATGAGACCTGACCTTTTGCATCCCCCCCCCCCAGAAAATATATACATGTCCAGTATAATTTACAGATGCTCAAAGGTTTATTGAAAAAGTTCTGTGTGTGTAGTCTCATTAATCCACAGCAAGATGAGGCTCTCTCCCCTAATACCTGAGTAGCAGCTTAATGACATGGTAAAGAAGAACAACATTCTACATTATCAAGTACAGTTGTGTACCATCAGCCAAGTGCGAGTCATTAGAGACAAACCATGTGGGGGAAAAAAGGATAAGTGATAACCAGTCAAGTACGTCATCCCGTGTGCTGACTTAAATAATCTTTGTATGTATACCGGTGCTGTAGGCCAGTTCATACCCCTATGGTAAATCAGCATTGTTGACTCGAGGCAGTTCAATTTATGACGTAAGTTCCCCTATAATCTATAGGAACTTATGACTTAGGGCCTTGATTATAAGTTCCAAATGTGTTATGTTATTTCTGGTTAAGTTAGGTCACTTTATACCTGGGGTATAAAGTGGCCAGGGGGTATAATTTGGCCAGTAGCTACAAAATAAAATGACTTTGACCTTAGAAGGATGTTCATGTAAGTATACTGTACATACAGGTATACACAAAATTTTCTTTATGACTCGGCTGTCACCCACATGTTCCCTCTTGGGAAAAAGTGTATGGAATAAGGTAGTAATTTGTAAAGTCTTCATCAGACATTTTATACCAACACCATATTTTTACTCAAATTTTTCTGCAGCCCAGAATTTGACAGATAAATCAATGTTCAACATACCTCAGCAATAACCAAACTTTTTGTACCCCACACCTGAAAAATTAAATTTCTACCAAGTACAGTACAGTAGTGTACAAATAAAGGAAATTATCAACACAGACAATATACCATGAACACCCAATCAGGTGAAGAGAGATCAAGGAATTAACAGAAAGAATGTTGTTGGACTTACAATCGTTCTCACCTGGTGGTGGTGCGTCTTCCAATCGGTTCCGAAGATGAGGGGGAACGTAGCGGCCTCCTCCCCGGCCCCCACGGCCACCTCCACGTTGACCAATGTGGTCTCGTCCCTCCAAGCCTAGACCAGCAAACTGTAGGGGAAAACAAAAACATAACCAATGAGTCCTACAACTCATTATGTTAATTACAATAAACCCTCTATAGGTCTACTGCAGATACAGACAAATAGATACAATAGCCTAGCATAGGTCTACTAATAGATTAAATTAAATACAGATAGACAACAAAAACTAACATTAACACCAGGAAATGCTAACCTATCCTAAGTTCACCCAACCTAACTTCCCCAATAATGCATTACAATATTTAATCGTCCTGTGAAAATAAGTGAGAGTTCCTCCTATTCTTCATGACATACAATACAAGACTCAGGCATTATTTCTCAGTACTTTTTGGGATAATTTTCATTGTATCAGCAGACTGTATATATTTGGCTTTATACACAATGTAAACTCAGTGTTCGAACAAACAATAAAAAAAACTACCATATAAACTATATATATATAACAAAAAAAACACACCAACTAATTAATAACTATGTATAACTCTTGTTGTTTGGTTTAGTTAACAATAATTAAGTGAGGTTTTCACCTTACAGTTAAAGGAAAGTACCGATATATATACTGTACACGGTTCCCACACTAATTGTCTTCTATCTTTCCCACCGTCAAGATTTGTAAACAAATACTGTACCAAAAATAAACACCCAAGAAAATCCCCCCAAAGTATCAGGAAACGGAAAGACAGACGTTAACCTTGAATATAAAACCTTTACCTACCTCATTTACCTACTCAAAATATCATCACATGTCATAGGTAAAGGTTATAAACAGGTATTGCTACATTACATCTAAAAGGGTTACATTAGATCTGTTAATCAAGTCACATTTGCATTCAGGTGTTGTGAAAGAGTGATTTATTACCACTGCCTCTGTGGATAAATTTGTAAATAATAAAATTATCATACAGCTCACATTGGTTTTGCATGGGTGGATAGTGTAGGTATACCATTTTATCATACATAAGCAGTGCATGTATACATATCATACATGGCCAGGTAGACAACCTATCACACATAAATAGTACAGGTATACAATCTAACATACCGTACATGGACAGTACAGGTATACAATCTAACATACATGGACAGTGCAGGTATACAATAAGCACATAAGAATGTAGGGAACTGCTGCGGGCCTATTGGCCCACACTGGACAGTTCCGTTTACACCCAACTCCTATTACTCGTATATCCGTCCAACCTATGTTTGAAGCTATCCAGCATATTCGAGTTAATGATGACATTTGGTAACTTATTCCACTCGTCCACTACTCTATTTCCAAACCAGTGTTTACCTATTTTGCGCCTAAATCTAAATTTGTCTAATTTAAAACCATTGTTACGAGTTTGCTCCTGGTTGGATAGTTTGAGTACCTTTGTAATGTCCCCTTAGTTCAGCCCTGACTTCCATTTATACAGGTATACAATCTAACATACATGGACAGTAGAGGTATACAATCTAACATGGATAGTACAGGTATACAATTTATTCATACATGGACAGGACAGGTATAGAATCTTATCACACATGGACAGTACAGGTACAGAACCTAACATTCATGGACAGTACAGGTATAAAATATTATCCCACCCTCAATTTTATCCTACTCTTTACCATTGTCTGTACCTGCATTGTGTAGGCATATACATTGTTTGAATACCTGCATGGTCATGTATACTGTATACAGATACCTGCATTCACTACACACATGCTGAATCAATGTAAACATAGAGGACAATTTTACCAACTGGTTTTCTTTTCCTATCACCAAAGTGCCACAGTGTTTGTAATGCCAGGAAAATTCATATCCCCTCTTTAGGATTACATAAATAATTACAAATACTATAGCTAAAAGTCAAACAATACATCCTTAGTGATGTCTCAGTAGCATGAAGTTCCTTATATTACATTACCATCATTCTTTCTTCTCCCACCACACGTCTGTATCCTAGGGCTTAAACCATCAGTAAATGTCAAATAATATCAATAAATACAAAGATATAATTAAGTATTAATCATATATAATATCTGGGTCAGTAAGGCTGTAGCTATGCCGACTAAAAACTTATATTTCCATCATTTAAACTCACAAAAATAACTTTCTAAACCTCGACTGAATCATACTGTTGGCATACCAGCACAAGCATGTGTTCCCCACTCATATCTAAATAAAGACGAAATAATATACATATATAAATATGTATGTTTTAAGGATGTGAACCTTCCCACCACATCATGACACCAGAACCCCTGATAAGAATCACTTCCATCAATCTTAATACTAATAAATTGCCTAACATTTACGATAAGGTTGACAGCGCTCCCAGCGGCGTCTGCCATTACCACTACCTTCCACTTATCTTTGTGTTTCTTTCATTATTTTATCGCCATACAGAGCATTTTACACACTCAAATTACACCTGAGGGTCTTCTTTGAGGTGTAATATCTAAATAATTAACGAGATATTGTTTTTTGTGGTGAAATTTACGTTTAGCGGCTAGTGGCTTTTATATGGAGGGGACGAGTTCCATCCATAACGTGGTGCCGCTCACTGGCATCTCTACTTATTTTCACCATTCTTCCTTCTATTTCACCATAAATTGATAAATTCCGACCCAAAACACTTAGCTGGATGATAAGGTCAGGATATAGACAGCATAAAGAGTGAGAGAAAATATTATTACCAGCACCAGAGCTTTACACCACCACGGGGAGACGAATTGATTGGATTGTCAGCTGCTGGACTGGACGGGAAAAGGCCTGACAAGACCACCATTGGTATAAACTCACACCACTCACAATACCACCGTCAATCACTACTATATATGCTCACCTGCCGCTCTAGACCTACTCCATTGTGGGTGGGTGCATTACTCATAGTACAAATAAAAAGTAACTTGTAGTTTAAAAGTTTTAGGGGAGGACACTCGGCACAGTTCACCGTCTGATGACTCCGGAGGACAAAGCCAATTTTCTGTGGTAGTGACGTCACGGATACACCAACGGCATCTGTCGCCATACTCCTGAACTTTTCCCCCTAATATTACCCATTTTTGTCTTATTTAACCCACTTTAAAACTATCTATAGCATTAAATATGCATCTAATATATTAATAAACATACAAAGTATCTTCATATCACTGTAATATCCTCAAAATAATAAGATATAGAATAGATATGTTACCCCCAGTGTTACTATTTTTACTTATTTAACGCATTTTTACATTCTTTATCGCGATTGTTATTTATATAATTTATTGGAAACCATAGATCTATTTTAAATGAACCAAATATACTTAAAACCTAAGATATATGTTAACTATAGCTTATACGTAGATTTCTGTTTTTATCTTATTTAACCTATTTTTACACTCTCTATAACAATAATTTTGTCTAATATATTAATAATGATATAAACTAATATTATATATTATATAAACTAATATTATATAACCTATATGTGCGTAAAATATAAGTGATATATTATCCATAACAAATAAGTATATTACCTATTTTCTTTTATATAAGGCATTTTATCTATGTTTACATAATTAATTATATGTTTAATATATTACAAATAATATACAATACTACAGAATAACCTCGATATATCCAGAATACATAAAAAATATATCCCACAACTACTACGTACAATTATATATCCATTATTTAGCCCTCAGTCCTAAATTAAACCAAATATAACATATATAGCTTCCATATATGATTAAATAATATAATAATGGTTGGTATATTATATAATTTGGGTGATATATTGTTAATAAAACGCTTGTCGAGGCTCTATTGTTATTTTATGTTTTAATGTAGGTGGCAGCACCGCACGCCATCCTTTCCCTTAGTACACTCAAACAGGTCTGTGAACTTGGCCACCCAGCCTTATTTTATCTCTTTATATCTAACTTATCGTAACTCCAAAATGTTTCCCGTGTGTCTTGTTGTAATGTCTATTGTGTTATCAAAGTCGTTTATTGTATTATAGTGATTTGTGACGCCCAATAGTCTTCAAATAAGATAAAATGTTGAGGTGTCTGTGTGTGTTGTGGTGGATGCCGGAGGTAAACATTGGCTATTTTCTGAACTTTAATTTTATATTACCACGAGGTTGTAATTTAACTTATGTTGTAGTTGGTGATATTTTATATAATAACGTAATTAGGGGTTGTACAACGTTATTAAATTATTAGTTCCCCAAAATATGTTATTCTAATGTTGAATGTTACATTTGTGACTTGTTACTTATAACTAATACCGTCAATTACTTGTGAAGACTATGTTATTATGATGGTTTTTAATTGTAAAGTGAATGTGGTTTTATTCGTAGTTAAGTTAAGGTTATTGTTTATTAGTTGTCAATTGGTATAGTAAAGCCATTAGTCGTTAGTTGTGGTTCATATGTTGTATTACCTTTATGTGACAGCCAGAGAGAGCACATGATCACTCCTCTCGTGAAGTATTTTTTGGGGTATATTTAGAAGAAAAAAAATGGTGATATATTGTAGTTAGGCCAGCCTAGACCAGCCCCCCCTCCCTAAGATTACCTGGATGACCACACCTAAAATATTACCCCAACAATACTTACTAAAACCCAAGGTACCAAGATACTAGACATGACGTTTACAACCTGACGTAACATCCCAGTTAAGTAGCCACATCCATAAAAATATAGTTTAATCATTTACATTGCTTGCAGCAAAACAACAGTTTGGCGAATCTAGTTAAGAACATAAGAATGGAGGAAACTGCAGCGGGCCTATTGGCCCATACTGGACAGCTCCGTTTACACCCAACTCCTATTACTCGTATATCTGTCCAACCTGTGTTTGAAGCTATCCAGCGTATTTGACTTAATGATGATATTTGGTAACGTGTTCCACTCGTCCACTACTCTATTTCGCGCCTAAATCTAAATTTGTCTAATTTAAAGCCATTGTTACGAGTTCGCTCCTGGTTAGATAGTTTGAGTACCTTTGTAATGTCCCCTTTGTTCAGCCCTGACTTCCACTTATACACCTCTTATCATATCGCCTCTCATTCTACGTCTCGAGGTAGTGCAAATTTAGAGGCTTTAACCTGTCTCTGTACCCAAGGTTCCTAATGCCCGGGATTAGTCTTGTCATTCTCCTCTGAATTCTTTCCAAGTACGTATTCTATATCCATTCTGTAATACGGTGACCAGAATTGAGCTGCATAATCCAAGTGAGGTCTCACAAGCGCAAGATATAGTTTTAGGATGACCTCACTAGTCTTGTAACTAACACTCTTTTGTATGAACCCAAATACACAAATTTTTACTTGGTATAAGATTCCTACTTATCATTACTCCTAGATCCTTCTCGCAGTCCATTTAGGGTCGTTGTTTGATCTGAGTTTTCTGTATGGTATGGTCTGCCTTTGTGCATTAAGTAACTCGTAAGTTCATAGTAAGCATGGCTGCTTTGAGTGCTAATATTATTCCACGATCACAGGAGGACAGGGTGCATGCTGTCTCCATGCAGGACTTTTCAACTATAATTCGAGCAACATTATGACCCCGCAAAAGTTCAGTTACCAGTATTTTGTTATAGTTGTCCGGAATTATTCTTTACTTGTGTTTAATTAATTGTCTTGTTTCAGCAGGATGGGGCGCGTGATTCGTGCTCAGAGGAAGGGTAGGGGCTCGGTGTTCAAGTCCCACACTCACCACCGCAAGGGGAAACCTGCCCTGCGTTCAGTGGACTACGCTGAGCGCCATGGTTACATCCGTGGTATAATTAAGGTAAATGATTCCCTTGACCTTAAGAACTGGTCTTCTCTATTTCATGATTGTTATGTTGTTTCCTTTGAATGGTTTGTATGGAGTATATTGGCCACTTGGCTCTCATAAGACAATGTATATAACCTAATTGCTGTTGAATTAATGCTCAGATAATCTAAAGTTAATGCCTAGGAAAATTAATTGCATAAATAAATTTTCCTATTGGAAATTTTGTAAATTACCACCATACGATACAGTACCTACCTTCAGTACAGTAGTTACCTCCAGGAGGCCATCTTTACCCCAGTACCACAGCCTGTCACCAAGATCTAGGCTCTTGTTACTAGCAATCCCAAACTCCATATTTGCAATACCATACAGTACTGTAACCTGTGGGATTAAATATATAAATTATTAATAAATGTTCTCAGAAGCATACACATAATTCTCTATTCAACAAGAGCAATACTTCAGCTGGCAGCTGATACATTAAAGGATTTACTTGGCATTTCCTTTTCATAAAGTGAGGGTGAGTGATAGTATTTTGTGAGAATTTTTTTCAGACACATGTGAAGGATGGCTTGAATCATGAACTAATAATAGAACATCACAATACACTAGGGTTCATTCTAGCTGCTTTAAGTTACCAGATGTGTAATACTGTGGTTTTCCCATCCATAGCAGGGCCTTAAGAATGTCCATAATGGTTGAGGAGACTGCAGTGGGCGCGGGGATACAGTATGAAAGGTTACAGAGAAATCATGCTACGTAGGAATGACGACAAAGCGAGATTAGTCAGAGATAAAACCAAAATGTGAGAGAGGACTTGGTTCACTAATAACTTGTTGTAAATGTTTACTATGCCAACATTACAGTATTGTAATACCAGAAACCTGGAAGATAGTGACTGATAGTGTATCAATTTTGAAGAAGGGAGATACATAGATCACTATCCTCTAACTACCGTCCAATTGTGGGCAAATTGCTGGAAGCGATAATTTCAAATTATTCAAAATCGCCTCAAGAAACACCAAAGTTGATCACTGATTCTCAACATAGCTTCACGTTCACAAGTGTCTGTTCATGTCTGACAAATCTCTTATCTTTTTTGGGCTGTTTTCTAATCAGTGGATGACTGACACGATTATGATGTGGTTGAGGCTCGTGGAATTTGAGAAGACAATCTAAATTGGGTTGGGATGTGGTTACAGGGCAGGAAGCAGAGTAAACATTAACGACTCTAAATCTGACCAGGGTAACATCACTATTGGAGTACCCCAAGGCTCAGTACTTGGACCATTACTATTAGTTATGTACATAAGTGACATATGAGCATCGACAGCAACACAGCTAAATTTGCTGACGACACTAAAATATGGCTTGTAATTAAATCTGACGAGTACTCTGAAATACTACAGGAAGATCCGAGCGATTTTTCCGCAAGGTCTTAAAAATGGCATGTGAAATTTAACGTGGAAATTTTTAAACTACTTAAGTGTAGATGTAAATAGTGGAAACCAGATATCAGATGAACAACGTTATAATAGGGAATTCCGACTGTGGGAAAGATTAGGAGTATAATGATGAGTAGGAATCTTAAACCAAGACGACAATGTGTATTTGCTAGAAAAAGGTTAAGAAAGTACTTGGGTTCATACGAAGGAGTGTTACAAGACTAGCGAGGTTATCCTAAAGCTATGTCTTGTGCTTGTGAGACCTCACTTTATGCAGTTCAGTTTTGGTCACCATACTAAAGAATGGATATCAAATCTCCAGAAAGTATTCAGAGGAGAATGACCAGACTAATCCCGGGCATTAGGAACCTTACTTATAGAGAGAGTTTAAAGCCTTTGAATTTACTCTCCGTTGAGAGACGTAGAGTTAAGGGCAATATGATAGAGGTGTATAATGGAAGTCGGTTAAACAACGGTGATCCCACCAGGAGCAAACTCATGGCAATGGTTTTAAATTAGACAAATTTAGATTTAGGCGCAAGATATTTAAACATTGATTTTGAAATAGTTGTGGATTGGACAGATATATGAGCGATGGGGGGGGTGTAATCGTGACTGCCTAGTATGGGCCAATAGGCCTGATGCAGTTTCCTTCATTTTTGTGCTCATGTTCTTATCCTCTGGGTTCAACCATTACCCCATCAGTACATTTATCCTCAATTCACTACCGTGTTTCCCAATCATGCACACTGGCGACTTTAATATGATAACTATAATACATTTTCTTTCATTACAGAATATTATCCATGACCCTGGCCGTGGTGCCCCCATTGCTGAAGTGCACTTCCGTGATCCATACCGCTACAAGACACGTAAAGAACTTTTATTAGCAGCTGAGGGCATGTATTCAGGACAGTTCATCTACTGTGGAAAGAAGGGTAGGTATTGGTTACTTGTGCCAGCATATGAAACGAACAAATGCTTGCTATTGTAAATTAACATATATTAACAGTTATTCTATAAAGGCCGACTAAACCTGAATACTTGTGTATCCTCCCAAATTATACCATATACCCCTTTGTGGATGTTTGGTTAAAGGTGTGAGGTAGAATAATTCAAGCCACCCATTATCACACTGCATCTGGAGCAGAGTCGATAAGAAGGCATTGACACAAAGCTTACATGTGCCAGTAGTGTTGTTGAAATAACCCAATTAGAGGTTATCCAGTATATTTTGAGGTATCATTTGACCCATGAGGAATTGAGTCTGGAATGTATTAGGGTATTTCCTTCACCACTTGAAGCTAACTTGTGTTTTAATTTATTTTGTATAAAATACATTGCCATATTTATTATTATTAAAATATATACTGTATTGTCTTTAATGGGGATACTGTACAGTGGTCTAATCAGATTTAATATAGGCTTAACTAGAGCTAATATGTACGAGATGATACACGATGGGGGTGGGACTGGCCATTGCCATGATTGCAGTTTTTTTTTTTTTTCCATTTATACATTATACACTACTGTACGGTGTTCTCGGCTCCGGACATTAGAGGGTTTACTGTATAGAGAGCATAGGAACGATTTGATTTGTTTGAGTTAAATACAGGACTGTATATGAAAATGGAGCATTTTCTTGATTAATAATACTTTCTCCTTGTTTGCAGCAAACCTCGATGTTGGCAATGTAATGCCAATTGGTACACTGCCTGAAGGTACCGTGGTGTGCAACTTGGAGGAGAAGACTGGAGACCGTGGCCGTATTGCTCGTGGGTCTGGTAACTATGCCCAGGTCATTGCTCACAACCCAGAGACAAAGAAAACTCGCGTGAAGCTTCCGTCGGGCACCAAGAAGGTTCTCCCCTCTGCCAACCGTGCTATGATTGGTAAGTACAGTAGTAGTCTATATTACCATTAACTTTTTAACTCCTTCAGAGATGCAATTTGAAATTGGTGTTTGTTATAATTTGGGGATAATTTTTCCATTACCAAATGCTGGGTGTAGAAACTTATTATTTTAACAAAAATCCTGAATACTTTATATCTGTTTGGATAAGGTTACAGTCCTGTAAATTGAACACAGTAAAATAGTTCTTTTATGCTTTCTAACCTTATTTTGTTAAGAGCTTTGTTTTACTGCTCATTATTAATCTCACATGAAGGCATTACAGAAATTGACAATTCTAAACAAGATGAAATGAGTGTAATTAAATATTTTAATATGGGGGTTCTAAAGATGCAGTTCTGAAGATAAAAATTTGGTTGAGCATTTACCTGAGGACCCTTATATTGGTCTTGGTATGATAATGTTTTAAATAGTTAGTGTGGGAGAGATGTAAGTTTTTTATTATGAGCACTTTGATGTCCCTGCAAGTAAGTTTAACAGCAGTCTTGTTGCAGGCATCGTGGCAGGTGGTGGCCGTATTGACAAGCCTATCTTGAAGGCTGGCCGTGCCTATCACAAGTACAGGGTGAAGAGAAACAGCTGGCCTAAGGTTCGTGGTGTTGCAATGAACCCCGTCGAGCATCCCCACGGTGGTGGTAACCATCAGCATATTGGTAAGGCCTCCACAGTGTCCCGAGGCAAATGTGCTGGTCGCAAGGTTGGTCTCATTGCTGCCAGAAGGACTGGTCTTATCCGTGGTACCAAAAAGGACCCTAGGCATGCTGCATAAATTACAAAATAAATATTCCATGAAAAAAAATGCAAAGGCTGTTTTACTTAACCATTACCATTGTATAATATTGGGCAAGGTATACAGTACAGTACTTTCGTAAGGTCTTGATAATATTATTGTACTGGGTTTAATAAGCACCATGTACAGTAGTGGTATGAAATGTCAAGGATGCTTTTGTGGGACTTATAATGGATAAATGCTTTAGTAATGGCAGAAGAAGAATGTGTACATTATTTGTGAAGAACAGTGAATATGAACTTAATCTACATTGGAGGGGATTAAAGAGGGTAAAATGAGATGATGATAAAAAATTGAACCAGGAATATCGAACTTGGATACTAAAACATGATGGAGTGCCTATGTCCGTTGGGGCTAAACTTGCGTGAACAGTTTTTTCCACTTGTGTTATTGTCACCTCTCCCCCCCTTGGTTTCTGATAATACAGGTGTAGTTATATTTTGTTAGGAATGATGGGGAAACCTAAATGTATAGTCCTACACCATGTTATATAACTGATGTTTGCCAAGTTAGTTTCAGTTTGTGTGAAGACAATGGGGACTAGGTGCTGAAGTGAAGCACCACATCAATAATCAGCTGATAATGTGTTCATGGTTGCATTGGTGGTTTGAATAAATTTTTGGAATTTTAGCAAATATCTTTTAAGCAGATCAATGTAAAGGTCTGAAACAGGGAACACACTTCTGTACAGTAATGTCAATTGGAGCATTATTGGTGTCCTTGACTATTTTAGCAATTTTTTTTGGCGAGTATCAAAAGATAACTTGGCAATGGACTGTGGGAGTCATCTGTTATACCGAGATTGTAGTTTGTTATATTAAATATTTACAGAAACTACAGCAGTGTGGCATGGCTGTTAATGTAGGTAAGTAAATACAAGCTGCATATCCTCACCTTAGAAAAAATGCCCTGAATACCTTATGTGAATATATGAGCTGTAAAAGGAGGAGACAGTGTAAACCACCTTCCCTTTAGACAAAATCATTAAGGTGTGATACTGAGAGCTGGTTTATGCACAACTTGCCAAAGTCTTCACTCGTCTCTATGGACTGAATTTTACCATTTTTGCATACATTACAATTGTCTTATTGTATTAATACAACTTTAGTTCACAAGTAATAATAAATGAAAATGTTTAACGGAATACATAGTTAATACAGTAATTGATTGGTTCCTGTGTGATGCATTTTCCGTGACACCATTTATCACTTAGGCCTAAACATTTTAAATTTCATCACTGTCTACCGGAAAAAGAAAATTACTTTTTGGGGGGCCTAAGCTGATATAATCTAAAGAGAATATTAGGAGTTGACAAAACCTGTCCAGTGATAAACTGTGTGCCTAGTTATTGTCTGGCAGGATATCCTGTACTTTGACCGACAAACTGCAGAGAAGCTCTAGTTTGCCATTATATAAACTACACTTTACATACAGTACTTGCACTGTATATGAACATTGTATACCAGCATTCTCTATATACCTGTACATGCTGATTCAATGTAAATTTGTGTGAAGATATTACTGAATAAACATATCTATTTATGCATCCATAGCAAGAGAGGTGATAGGAAACGTAACGAGCGTATAATATATAAAGGAAGAACGTCGAGAGATAAACATACTTTTCCCGGATGCTGATATGCATCATCACCTCCACAACCAGTGTCAGGGAGACGAGAGTTGGTGGCACTACTAGAGTTGGTGGCACCACTGGGGTTCGTGGCACCACTGGGGTTCGTGGCACTACTGGAGTTGGTGGTGCTACTAGAGTTTGTGGCACTACTAGAGTTCGTGGCATTACAAGAGTTGGTGGCACTGTTAGAGCTTACATGTGACATTCAGGTAAGTACACTGCTCTCTTATGTGTGGTGCATCATGATGTAGTGCTGTGGTAGATCATAGATGTAGTACTGTGGTAGATGTAGTGCTGTGGTAGATCATAGATGTAGTACTGTGGTAGATCATAGCTGTAGTGCTGTGGTGGATATAGTGGTAGATATAGTAATGAGATAAATAACACATCTACCACATGCTGGGAGTGTTGTTATTGGTGAGTCGTATTACTAAATATGGAAGTTACCAACAGTGTGTTTTGGGCAGGAAGTTGTTATTATTGTGAACTGTGTAATAACAGGATGAGAGAGAGTGTTTGTGTATGTGTCTGTCTCCTCTATATAGCTGTATTATATGTGTTTTTTCCTTCCGCCAGAATCCTCCCTCCAAGATGGCCTCTTCCACAGTACCATCAACCATAGTTTTGCTGCTTACCACTATTGTCCTAGCCACCACCACCATTGGCACTGACCTTCCCACCACCAGTACCACCTCTACTACTACCACCACCATTATCGCTGAGCCTCCCACCAATACCACTGAGCCTCCCAACACCATCAGCACCACATCACCAGCACATGATCATATCGCCGTCATCACCTTAGCAGTGGTGGTGGGGCTATTGGTGGTGATTATCTTGTGTGGTGGGTACAGGTTCTGGCAGGAACGACGTACAGTACTCGCACACCAACACGTCCAGGACAAGTTGGTGGCAAATAAAAAAGTTGCCGTCAGCATGACTCACAGCAACAGTGAGGGGAACAGGATGCGCCAGGAGCCAAGTCAGATCAACAATTTGAACAGTATCACTTTCTCCTTTGATTCACGTTCTCAGACTTGGTCACCTGATAGTTTATCCGGCTTCAACCGTGCGTCAAAATCACCGCCGCCTCTCGCCCCTTCACCCTACCTGTTACACCCAGGCACTACCACTCACAACTGGTCGAGTCGCAATTTAGGCAGAACCTTGATCGACGAAGACCCGTACGACGAACTACCAAGCCGAGGAGCACCCATACCTTTTGTGCCGTCATACACGGTGAGAGATGAGCATCCCCCCGTCACTTCTAATATAACAGATCAAACTGTCCAGGACACAAATGATCTGTGTGAGGAACTTTCCCTGGAACACTCACCACTATCCTTGCCTCAGCTGGTTACCGTAACTCTACAGGAATGTGTCGAGGATGACCATGGTGTCTGTCACAAGGAAAGGGACAGTCGACTCAACCCTTCCGCCTGTAAGTATGGAGCCAAGAATCCTGGTAACTTGCCAACCCACAAGAGACTCACTGTGACCAACGTCCTGGCGGCGGCCATGTTGGAGATGAAGAGTAAGAATCTCTTCACCCAAAAGAGAGATCTGTTGATGGGGGAGACAGGCTTCATTGCCAGGAAGATGTCTGTTAAGACCAAACTCCCAGCCTCAAGGACGACATCCTTGGACAAGGAAGCACCAGTATCAAGGACGACATCCTTGGACAAGGAAGCACCAGTACCAAGGACGACATCCTTGGACAAGGAAGCACCAGTATCAAGGACGACATCCTTGGACAAGGAAGCACCAGTATCAAGGACGACATCCTTGGACAAGGAAGCACCAGTATCAAGGACGACATCCTTGGACAAGGAAGCACCAGTACCAAGGACGACATCCTTGGACAAGGAAGCACCAGTACCAAGGACGACATCCTTGGACAAGGAAGCACCAGTATCAAGGACGACATCCTTGGACAAGGAAGCACCAGTATCAAGGACGACATCCTTGGACAAGGAAGCACCAGTACCAAGGACGACATCCTTGGACAAGGAAGCACCAGTATCAAGGACGACATCCTTGGACAAGGAAGCACCAGTATCAAGGACGACATCCTTGGACAAGGAAGCACCAGTACCAAGGACGACATCCTTGGACAAGGAAGCACCACTATTAGCAGAAACCTCTGAGGACAGTACTTCAGAATCGTCAGATTATGAGAGCGAGGATTCAGAATCGTACTCAGTGAGGTCAGGGAGCAGCTCAGATCACCTCTCTGACGACACTCATTCAGAATAAGGAACTAGAGTCGGTACTCTCACTACCCTTCATTACACTACACTTCCATTCTCGTATCGTGAATCAAACATTAAAGAAACAGAACGTCAAATACTGGGATAACACAGTAAAGAACGCAGTTCAAGATGAGATTTAGAAAGATAAATTACCCATTGAAATATCCCCCCAATAAAAAAGATATGTGCAGTGTTGTTGATTCTTAGACGACAATAATGATTCCCTGTGTTGATGTACTTACTGTATTCTTCATCACTCTCTAGTTTGGTGACTATAGTGTGAGAAATTCACCATTTTCTGTTGACATTAAAAGATAAAATTTATTCATACAGGCGAAATAGAGTCAAGAGGAAGATATATTTTTTTTAAATAAGTAATGATTTTTGCTATTAATATGAGGCGGCTTGGGTGACGAGTAGCCAAACAACACCGACAAAGTAAAAATAGCCAGAAAACGCAATTAAACATTAAAAGAAAGTTGAATTAAATATTATAATATGTCAAACGATTATATCTAAGTGCTAGTTTAGTTCTCGTCTGGCCCAAAGTGTCTCATAAAACCCGCCAAAACACTGTTGTTGATATTCGTCTCAATGGGTCTTGGCGTTTTATTTGTGTACATGTGGCTATTTTTCGCCTATTATGTATTAAACTCAACATGAAGCCCACTAGTCAGGAATAATACTTAAATATACAGGAAATACTGATCCTTAATTTCAGTGTAGTTTTTGAGAAGTTAGTAATGTTGGATTGTTTCAACTACCGCAGTACAAAATGTAAATATTTTATGTTATTCCAGATTCATGTATCTTACGCTTTAGAGTGTTCAGTTTTGGTTAATAATAAATGAAGTATTAATATGTTTTGGCTTGACTGATTATACTTGAGATAAACTGTATACACAATGACTTATTATCTTAGCTTTACACCAACTTTATACCTGTCAACTTACTAGCCAGCGTAGGGGTGTAGGTATACAAACAAAAGTAAAAAGTAAGTAGATTAGGAAAAATAAACAGGAAGTAGATTTGGCCAGAGCCACCATATGTACATTTAATTAGACTGTTAATACAAAATTGTACGTTATATTGTCAAATCAGTATTACACGTTTCAACATAGGCAAGAAATAATTAAGAACAGCATCAGTAACTCGGTATAGTATAGTATACACTCTTTACATTTACGTTTTCTGTAAAAGTAGTGAGATAGAGAATGCTACTGGTATAACTGCTGTAATTTTAATCTTGCATACCTTGTCACAAGTTCATACTGGTTTATTGTGTACATCGACAGTCCAGATATACAGATATTACAAACAACGTGCGTAGACGGTGTACTGTATGTATATAAACAATGTACAGCCTCGTTCAATATTCTTCGAACACTGCTGGAGCCAGCTGGCAACTCAAGGCCGTTTGTTTACTATAGTACGAAGTAAAAATTATGAATGAATGTAAAAGGTTATCGGTGATTGGTTACTTAGTTCCCCGTTGCTTAATTAATGGTTGGTCTTTGTTGATTCGTATTATATTATAGTACGCACTATAGTAAGCAAACGGCCTTAAGTTGCCAGCTGTCTCCAGCAGCGCTTAGCAATATCTGGCATCTACTTGTGAGTTATACACATATGATTGGGATACACTAATAGCACTACTTGTCATCACATATTATGCCTGAACCACAAAATGGGATAAAACTCTCCTTTATACCTAAGATCTTCGGGTACTTACATGCCAAATACTGTCAAGTGTTCAAGACTTTTGACCTAACCTAGCTTAACTGTCTGTAAATGAACAAAATTACACACACACACACACACACAGAGGTTGGCAGGACTTCGGTCACACTCTTGGATGAAAAAAGTTATCACTGCCTCGACTCTGTTGCCTAAATAGTCCTTAAGGTCATGTTGATAATTTTATTCTATTTGCTAGTTAATATTTTTTTATTACTCTGCTTGTGATTGGCTGAGACCGAGTGTGTCTTAAGGGAGATTCTTGAGAGATGACGAATATGTTAGGCCTCTCTCTCTCTCTCTCTCTCTCTCTCTATTCACCACAACCACCACCACTACTACAGTGCACCACACCACTACCACAACCACCACCACCACCATTATGCATCTCTTGCCCAAAAAGTGGACACAGTCATGCGTTCTCACAGTGGCCCGTCTTGCTTGTTATACAGATAGATAGATAAATAGACAGAGATAGAGAGACATTTAATCAGTAATATTAGTCACACAAGTTAAGTTGGTTTAGCATGTATATAGACAGTGCAGGTATACAGTTCACCATGTATACAGACAATGCAAGTATACAGTTCAGCATGTATATAAGAACATAAGAACATAAAAACATAAGAAAATAAGGAGTCTGCAATAGGCCGGTTGGCCTGTGCATGGCAGCTCCTGTCGAGAGTTACTACCACTCTCTATCATCCATGAATCTATCTAGCCTCCTTTTGAAACTTTCCAGAGTTCCCGCACTTACTACAAAGTTGCTAAGCTTGTTCCACTCGTCCACCATCCTATTTGTGAACCAGTTTCTTCCTATCTCCTCCTAAACCTAAACTTATCCAACTTGAATCCGTTGCTCGAGTCTTATCCTGCTCGGATATTATAAGAACTTTATCTATATCCCTTTATTGATTCCTTTCACCCACTTAAATACTTCTATCATATCTCCCCGCACTCTTCGTCTTTCTAGGGAATGAAAGCTAAGTTTCATTAACCTATCCTGATATGGAAGGTTTCTAAGTCCCGGAATCATTTTTGTCATTCTTCGCTGCACCGACTCTAGTGAATTTATATCCATTCTATAATAGGGGCACCAGAACTGAACCGCATAATCGAGGTGCGGCCCGACTAGCGCAAGATATAGTTGCAATAAGGCCTCTGCACTCTTGTTACTTACACTTCTAGATATAAAACCCAATACTCTGTTTGCCTTATTTCGAATATTAACGCACTGTTTTCTAGGCCGTAGGTCCGGGCTTACAAGTACCCCTAGGTCTCTTTCACAAGTCGACTTCTCTAGGTTGATGTTGTTAAGGCTGTATACATTATAAGTATTTGTTCTTCCAATATTAAGTACGCTGCACTTGCTGGTGTTGAATTTCATTTGCCATTTTTCAGACCACCCCTGCAGTTTATTTAGATCCTCCTGTAATGCATTTGCATCCTGCCCTGAATTAATTTGCCGCCCTATTTTGGTGTCATCCGCAAACTTGCTTATGTCACTGCTGATCCCAGTATCTAAATCGTTTATGTAGATTATGAACAAGAGTGGGCCTAGTACTGACCCCTGGGGAACCCCACTGGTTACACGGCCCCACTCAGATTTAACACCATCTACGCTGACCCTCTGCGTTCTATCGGTGAGCCATGATTTTATCCAATTTAAAACTTTCCCCTCGATACCATGAGCAGGTATACAGCTCAGCATGTATATAGACAATGCAGGTATATAGTTTAGCATGTATATAGACAATGCAGGTATACAATGTACCTCGAAAGTGCAGGTATACAAACAATGGTAAACAGTAAGGCAATTCGTTCACGGATAGTCAATAAAACCATCGGAGGCTTATTACAACACACAGACAGACACACACAAGGAGACAGCGTGGCCGGCGGGAAGGAGGAGGACCAACTTACATAAGAAGGGCCGTGTTGTGAGAATGTAATGTGGGTGAGATAAACGACACACGTGGTTATCACGCCGCCAACCACGCTCTCCCGTCACACCATGGTCCATTAGAAACAGGAGTAAGAATGGCGAAAATAGTTATAAATCGCGTTTATTAGAAGAATTTTAGGGAATTTTAGAGAAAGCATCTGGCTCACACGAAGTAGGAAACTAGTGCAGGCTGGTCTCTGTTTCACGAGGCCTTCAGATGTAAGTGTCGTGAAGGAGGCGTGGCAGGAACGTGTGGTTGGCGTTAGAAGGCTTGTGATTGGCCAGAGGAACCATGGTGCAAAAATGATCAAGGGCGGGAAGGCTGGTGATTGGTTAGAGGCTGGGGGGCTGGTAGAGTCGTGGGCACTTATAGACATCACTCGTAATGTCTGGATGGCTGTGCTCTTTCTCTCCTCAACAACAAATTATATATTTATGTTACTTACGCCATCAACACTGCGTATAATGTGAAGGATACCAGTGTGTGTGTGTGTGTGTGAAGGTAGGTCTCTGTGTGTATATGTGTATGTATGTACTCTTGAATATCTGTATGCGTGTGTGTCTATAAAAAATTACCATCACAACACGATCCTCTCCCCATTTTGACACTCTCCAGGTATAAATCACATTAAAACAAACACCTGTCACCCTCCATATATCGTTCAGTGGGTTATCTCGATAACACAAAGTCTCACCTTACATTATCTATTACATAAGACCCTTCAAGGACTCTGTATAGGTAAGAAGCATTAGTATTATGCCATGGGACGACCTATTAACACACACACACATTCTGTCAACACCGAATTAACCCATAATACACTGTCCTTCCCACTTGTCCCTACCCTTCCCACTTGTCCCTACCCTTCCCACTTGTCCCTACCCTTCCTACCCTTCCCACCTGTCCCTACCCTTCCCACCTGTCCCTACCCTTCCCACCTGTTTCAAATCAACCTTAAACAGATATCATTACCATGTTTCACTTCACCCAAGCCTGAAGCCTTAATAGGACGCTACTTATATCAAGGTGAAGTAATAGAGGACTGAGCTAAAACCAATACTTCATCTTCCCTGTTTTAAAACATATCAGGAGCGAGTCATAGTGAAGGAGCCATTGACCTTGTTGTTCATGATGAAAAAACACAATAAATAAAATAATAAGAAACAAATTGTAACAATGTAAATAAAAACAGAAATGGGACAAATAAAACAGATCAAGTATGAGAAAAATATTTGTTGTGTAATTAAAGTAAGAGGGATTGAGAGTCTGTAATTGTGTGTAATGAGGTAGAAAGTTAGTGAGGTATACTGTATATTGGCGTTGTTGTGGCGTTGTGACAGTAGGGACACTACTGGGAATAAATATATAATGATTCTGTTAGCTATTAGACTACCACCACCAACAGTAGTGCCATCAACAGTAGTGTCACCAACAACAAGTGTGCCAACAGCAAGAGTGCCACCAACAAGAGTGCCAACAGCAAGAGTGTCACCAACAATAAGAATGTCACCAACAATAAGAATGTCACCAACAGTAGTGCCATCAACAAGAGTGCCACCACCATCATTAACTCACAAGACCTCGTCCACCCCTGGGTCACGTGACTGTCCCCAACCACCCTCGTGACTGAATGACTGACCGACTGACTGACCCTTACAGTCTTAACCTAGCCTCATAGTGAAAGTGTACAGTACATGTTCAGTACCTGTCAACAGTGTATAACAGGGAACAGACAGAATCTCTGATCGCCTATTTAGTCGACCTGTGACGATGAGGATAAGTAAGCATGTAAATATCACGTCTAATGGCCAAGGCCAGGATGGTGAGGACCAGGGTAGCTGTCAGAGAAGGTGGGAGCCAGGGCAGCCAGACAGTGACCCCGGCCATCGCCACCAACAAGTTAATTATTTACATGATGACCTCCGCCTGTTTTAACCCTCTGCCTTGACGACCACAGCCTAGCCCAGCCCAGAAAAGCCTAGCCCAACCTAACCCAGCCTTGATGACCACAGCCTAGCCCAGCCCAGCAAAGCCTAGCCCAACCTAACCCAGCCTTGACGACCACAGCCTAGCCCAGCCCAGCAAAGCCTAGCCCA